GGGGGGGGGGGGTACAGGAGGAGGTCGATGTCTGCAACATGCTCACGTGAAATGGAGGCGATTGGAAACGGCATATGTAGGAGGTCGAGGTCTGTACCATGTTCGTGTGCGATGGGCGATTAGAACGGGAGGAAGTCGACTCCTAACCCACTACCACCACCAACAACAGCAACAACAACAACAACAACAACAACAACAACAACAACAACAACAACAACAACAACAACAACAACAACAACATCAACAACAACAACAACAACAACAACAACAACAAAGCCATCGCACCGGTATCGAGCACCATGATATCGTCCAGGCACTCTGGACAGCCGTCCACCGTCCTCTCCCCACCAAATATGACGAGCAGGTTCTTGTCCTTGATGAACGAAGCAGAGTGCCACGCGCGGGGGATGCTGTCGCAGTTCACCGGCCGGCTCCACGACTCGGTCGCTATTATTAGTTAGATAACCGCGCAACAACAGACAGAAAAAAAAAACGAGTTAAAACAAGGCCTTCTTGTGTGACAATGAGGCGTAATGAGGCCTTCCTTCTTTGTCCTTCTGTGTGACAAGCAAACAAACGAGCTGTGATCAAGAATTCCTGTTGCGACTAGAAAACAAAGGAGATAAAATAACGAGATCTGGTTTTATGACAAGTAGAGTAGGTATAGGGGGGTAATGAGCCGCGTGGTGCGACTCGATACCTTGCAGCAGTCCTGTCTGCGATGCTGATGGTGCACGAATCCCGAACAAACACCACCCGCGTGAACTCGTTTGTGGTGCAGCTACGCGTGCACCACAGAGGGGCAGCAGGCGTGCGACGGGAGCGACGATGATTGTATGTGCGGCCACCGTTCAAAATTTTGCACTTTACATGCGGTTGTTTCTTTCGGTTTTGATGCACATGCACGAAGAAACAAAATGTGAAGTCTTCCCGCTGTGCGGACCCAAACATGCACATCTGCTGGGCATCTGAAAAGCACACACATGCGGCATCCCCCTGGCGGCAAGCGTATCACACATCACACCGTCGGGGAGCACGACCAGCAGCGTAGACATAGGATTGTGACACCACAGATGGCAAATACTAGTATTGCGTCAGGCTCACAACTTGCCCGTCACATTCGTCTCAAGCCTTCCGAGTTGCCCGCCCAAGTGCAAGCAAGCAGTCCAGCATTAGCCAAAAACAACAAAAAGCCGTTGATGGCCATGAGACGTCATTGCTTTGATGCGAGAGGCCGAGAGGCCCTGCTGCAGCCCTGCAGCAGCAACAACAGCATGCAGGGCACGGCTTTCTTTGCGAAGACAGTCAGTAGCGCGGCGCAAGTACGCAATCTGAACCGATCCCGCGGGGAACCATCCTGATAACGCACAGCAGCAGCAGCAGCAGCAGACCCTCACGCCCTCGGCGGATTCTCTCGATGATGGTAGGTGTGATCTGGACTTGTGGGAAGGTATATATTGTGTAGTCATCGGTCTGCTCTTTTTGAAGCAGTTGGTTGGACCCATTCAACATCAATACACACCCGCCAGGTTACACATGGTGCGCATGCCTACAGTATACCCACGGTGCACAGGTCGTATTGGCTCGGCCCGTCCTGGTTTTCATAGTAGCTGGTCTCAGACCAGCGTCTCAGCGGTGATGCGTTCGTCAGTGGTGTTCTTGCGGCTCTGTCGGTGCTTCTTGTCCTGGTTTGAATCGCGTGCGCGCGCGATCGCCGCTTTTGTGCACGCCTTTTCGCGTCGAAACCCCGGGGTTGGGGAGCAAAATCTCCTACGAATATAGGCTACATATGCCGGTGAAGCACGGCCATCTGCTCTCGGAGCACGACGAAGCCGGTGTGAAGAAGAGCGCGCTATTTTTCTTCTTCCTCAGAATCGAACAGATCGTCAATCGGTGCCCTGTATATCTCGTTCTGGTCCCAAAGGTGTGCTAAATAGGCTTCCCCGTAATCAAGTTTTGGGGCCCCTGTATCACCCGGCGCAACTTTGGCCGATACATATAATAGCGCCTTTTTTTTCCCTCCTGGGAACGAAGGGAAAAAATCATGTCGCTTGCTTCGCTCGCTCCGCGGCTCATTACAAACGAGTGAAACATGGTCTTCATCCTGTGTGACAAGCATACAAGAGTTTTCTTGTGCGATAAGCACACAAACGAGTCACAATGTCGCCTTCCAACAAACGCTCTCCCCTCCCACCATCACCACAACCGATGCCGTCACCCACCGAAGTCAAACTTGTAGAGGTCGCCGAGCGTAGCCTGGTGGGCGTCATCGTCCGCCTGACCCCCGAGTACCATCATGGTCGACTCCGAGATCATCGTCGCGGTATGGCCCCACCTCCCCATGGGACCCACGCCCCCATCCCCGCTCCTGGCCCCCACCCCGACGCCCGCCACGATCTGACCACAGCAGTGGTGGTCGGGGAGAAATTTATTGGGGTGTCTTATTATTCATTTTTTTGCATGTGACAAAATGCATGCCCACGGAAAAACAAGTAGTGGTCAGGAAATGTGACAAACAACCCACAGCAGTAGATTGGGCCATTAGTTATTTGATGGGTAGTATTTTGGCCGTTATATTTGTCGTCATGACGTACATGCCCATGGTCAGTAGTCAACACGTATGTAAGTCGGGACATGATAAGACCAATAAAAAAAACGGGTTGTGATATTGTCGCCGGCTTTGCTTGCCATAATACATATCCATGGTCGCCAATTCTCGTGTTTCTGGAGCACGAAAAAAACAACGAACTAAAAACAAACGGGCTGGGTGTTATCCAACGTAAAAGTTAACTTGGCACACCTGCGCCCTGGCTGACCGGCTGAGCGGGCCCGGGCTAGCCGGCGGCGAGGCAGCGGCGGCGCCGGAGGAAGAGATCGCTAGCCACGCGGCGGCCGCGGAAGAAGACGGGGACGCCTCCCCTCCCTCCTCCTCTTCCTCCTCCTCGGATGCGCTGCTGCTTCCGTCATCGCTGACGTGAGTCTGAACACGCGCTTCGTCATCGCCGTCTTCTTCGTCCATGGCCTCAACCATAGTACCCCCGGCGGGGCTTTTGGTCGCCGGATGGTTCTCCTTGTTCAGCGAAGAGTCTTCTTCCTTCCTCTGCTGCTGCCGCTTCGCCCTTGCCGTCTTCTTCGAAGCCACGACGGCAGGTCTCTTCGTCTTGTCCTTAGCCCGGGTGGCGTTCGTCTTGGTAATACTACTAGCGGCGGCGGCGCCGGAAGCATTGGTGCTCTCCTCTCCCCTCGCCCTCCGCGCGCGCTTACCCTTAGGCTTGCCCGTCGTTGTCGCAGCTGTGGACGGGCCCTGAGCGTCGGGAGAAACAGCAGGAGGAGCGGTACCTGCCGCCGCCGCTACTCCGCCTGACGACGACGACGGCGAGGACCGCTTGTTGCGGGGGCCGACCCCAGCAGACGGGCTGGCGGCCTGCTGAGCGATAACGGATGCATTGCCGCTGCTCTTCATGGAGCTGGACGGGGAAACGTGAGACGGCGGTTGCTGCTGCTGCTGCTGCTGCTGCTGCTGCTGCTTCCTCGCGCTTCCACCGCCTGCTGCTGCTGCTGCGGCGGCACCGGGGTTTTGCGCACCCTCGCAGGCTTGCCGCAACGTCGAAGGGCTGTTGAACATGGCGGTGGACGGAGACCTTGACGCCGCCGCCCCCGCCGCTGTTGCTGAGAAGGATGACTTGGGCGAGTCCCCGTGCTCGAGCTGGGACAGGGCCATGTCGTAGTCGCTCTGGTCCATAGCAACGGCCTCGGCACCGTCCAGGACTCCGAGGGAGCCGGCCTCGCTGCTCGTGCAGCACAGCGGGAGGGCGTAGCTGTCTGCTGCGCCGGCGCCGGCGGAGGCGGAGGCGGAGGTGGGTCGAGGAGGCAGGGAAAGCATCGTGGCACGCGAGAAAAGAGGGGGAAGGGAAACGTGAGGGTTGGATGCTGCGAGCGGTGTTTGTGTAGCTCTTCGTGCGCTTGCACGTGTTATGCGGCACGCGGCGGTGGCGGTGAAAAGTATCGTGGCACGCAAAGACGAGGAGGGAAACATGAGGGGTTGATTGGCTTGTTGCCAGCGGGTGCGACCTTTGGAGGGGAATTCTCTCCAACTCGAAGGAATTTTACCTTCTAGCTCCTCGTGCGCCTGCACGAGCGATATAGTCGTGCGGCACGCGGCGGCGGTAACGGCGGCGGTAGCTGTCCGTAGATCGCTGAAATGGAGACGTGTTCTCGACAGCACTTCTCCTATCTAAGCCGTGGGTCCAACCAAAATAGAACACGTTCTCGTGCGCACAGGTTGAGCCCCGTTACTACTCCCCGACCAATCAAAACCCAGGTCGTCGCAATGCGGGTGCGTGCATGGAAATCCTCTACCCGAAGGGCTCGTTGGTTGCCATAAAAAAAGGACACTCCCACGCGTAACCCAGAAACAAGATAAGATTGGGACACAAACTGCCCACAGGCCAAGCTACCGTCACAGTAGTTGTTTTACGCCCTTTATGTTTTCGCTTTGATTTTACAGATGTGTGGACACTTTTGGGGCGGGTGGTTGGCCTGTGACCAACGAGGGTGACCACGTCTGTTGAACCGATACGAGAGTAGAAGGTAATGAGCTGAGGCCGTCGCGGCTTCTTGAGGGTACGACAACACCAACAACAACAACAACAGCAGCAACAAGCTACAGAAACGATAACCACGACAACAACAAAACCAACAACAACATCAACAAGCAGCAACAATCCGCTTCCACTTCACGGTCAACGAAACTGGAAGAGACGAGTTCTGTTACATATCGCACGCCGCTCGCACTCACCCCCGCCCCGAATCTTGGGCGTGGAGGACCCAGAAGACGACAAAGAGCTCTGCAGGGACACCGTGCCGGTGAATCCGTTGAAGCTAAGGACAAGGTTCCCGCTCTTCCCGAAGTCGAACTGGCAGCCGGAGAAAGATGACAGCTCCAGGGTGATGCCCTCGAAGCGAATGCTGGGTCCTCCACCGCTGCCATCGACGGCGGCGATGGAGCTGCCTCCGCCGCCGCCCCCGCCGCCCCGGTACTGCTGAGTTACGCCAGAAACCATCCTGCGTGTCGGGCTCGGTCTGAAGACAACTTAACGGGCTCGCTCCTATGGGTGGTACCAGGGAGGGAGGGGAAAGGCAGCGTGCGCAATGGGTTTTTCTTTCTCGGCATACATACGTACGCGGTGCTGCAAGGTCTTAAACAGAGGGAGGGAGGGAAAAGGGAGCGTTGGCAGCAACCGTGCGCGCTGTCTTTATCTTCTCCGCATTATTCGCGTTGCCGCAAGGTCCACTACACAGGGAGTGCAAGGCACACCACACTACCTAGAGGCAAGAGAAAATAAAGGCCTGAGAGCATTTTTTCGCTTGGAAGCTTAGCTTTGACGGGCGACAGCAGCATGGAAGGTAACAACAACCGCTCAAGACTTGACACCAATATGCACGGATCTATATATACATCACTCCGCACGACATGGATACAAGGCAAGGGAGGACGGACCAGCCCAACATGATGAGCCTGCTCCATCACTCTCTGCCATGCTAGGCATGTTTGTTGTGTCCGTCCGATACTGTAGCCTTTTCCTCCAGGGTGGCACGCACACTAGACCCCGTTGCTCCTGCGCCCGTAGGTGGGGTTGCAACGACGGACACCACTGCTGCACTTGGTTGCAACGGAAGGCCGATGATACCATCTGATGTGCTGCCCACGGAAATTGTTGTTCAACGCCAGGAGCCCATCCAGAATTTTGAATTGGGGGCTCCGCAACCAGCGCGTGGATACTCAATCAAATCCATGACATCATGTGCTGAGAATGTGTTGGTACATGCGTTGCTTGTGTCGTGCACGTACTGCTGTTGCGGAGGAAGCTCTTGGTGTCCCCACGAGCCAGTGGGATGAGGGATGCCTTGGGTGGGGCGCTTTTGTTACAAAACCGCCGTGCTTGATGTGGCCGGTTCATGCCGCTCGCTCGGGTGCTGGCATTTTTGAAAATGTCGGTTGGGGCTGGCTGGCCCACAATTTTACAAATTATCAGCGACCAACAATTTGCAGCTACTGCTGCAGCTGTGCCTAGAGTCAAACTGGCGTGCTATTCCCCTGTAGTAGCCGGTTGGTTCGAGATGCTGGTGTTCTGCTGCTCCGCTCCTTGGTGGAGGCACGCAACATGCGACGCGAGCAAGCGTTGGGAATTTCGTGGATTTTCAAAACTTGGCCGTCACGGAGCACAAAACGAACACACGAGCTCTTGCATCTATACATACGGGAGGCACGACAATGTAAAAAGCAAGCGTGCGAGAATCGCATGGGAACTACTCTTTGCTTTTGAATCGAGAAAGGCGCATCTTCGAGTTAGGAGAGGCATCGATGGTGCCGAGCTGAGGAGCAACCATCATTATGTGAACAGCTAGTGAGCATGCAGTTTTGAATTTTCCCACGACGATCCAGACACAGGTTTCGACAAACCACACCTCTCTCACCTCGCGTCTCTCTGCTTGTCGGGCACGTGAATGGCGAAGCAAAGGAGAGTGGGGGGAAAGCTGCGCCCGAGAATGTCCTGCTCCTAGCCTCTGCCACACTGGGCCCTGCGTATGCCAGGTTAAAGTGATCCACACAGGTAGACGGTAGATAGCCGTCAGCGTCTCGACAATTTTGAACCATGGGGGGACGTCAGATGGTAATTACGCCGCAGGCTCTATCTGCGAAACCCCTCCGTCTGACGATTCACGGACTGGCGGGACGGCATTTCATCACGATTTCACGATACCAGCTGCTGCTGCAACAGAGAGAGACAGAGAGAGAGAGAGGAACCCGTTGGACAGCAGGAAGCAACTGATCTCCTCGCGAAGGTTTCATCCTCCCGTTGATGCTGCTGCTTGCAGCTTGGCACGGTGTCTGCACCACCCGTTGAAATCCGATTTCAAAAAAGAACGCCGCTTGGACCGGTTCAGCAGTCCACAGGGCAGCAGCAGGCGAGTGGGGCAGGCGGATGGTTGCTCTGCTGTCAGCGGAAGGCTCGAGGCAAACGGCACAGATGTGCATCGTTCCGGAAGGAGAGCTCGGTTCCAAGGTGTGTGCGCCTGTACGCGCGCGCGTGCGGAGAACAGCAACACACGGTTGGTGTGCTGAATCCGTTGCCCTATTTTTCTTTTCCCCAGAAGGTTTTTTACTTGTGTTCAAAGAGCGGCGAATTGGGGCGGATCAACGACAAATAGTTCTTTTGTTGCTTTGGCTCCTCTCGCTCCTCCTGCTCTGCCCAGCAGCGGCTTCGGCTCGCGCCTTCGCGCGACCAATCGACTGGCGTCGGCATGAGTTTCCAGCCTCCCCCCCCCCCTCCGATCTTCCCGTCTTACAGTCGTGGCGGGAACTACCATGCTTGTTTGCGGGTCTTTGTCTGGGATAAGCCGCCTTGTTCTAAAATACATGCATCTCCTCCCCGCCGGATCTCACGGGTCGCCAGCGTCCGTACAACACCTATGTAGAGCAACCAAGCACATTTGCTAACTCACCGTAGGGTAGCACAACACCTACAGCATGGTTCCTTCGTTGCAGTTCTCCACCTTAGATTCCTGTTTTGGAGTCTGCGGCAGCCGGGGCTCGTCCATGTATTCATAGGAAAAAGCTTCCATGGCACCCACATTGTAAAACGTCAGTACAAGCAGTAGAAGGAGACGTTTAGTCAGTTACAAAAAACTTTGCCTGGTGATTCTGGTTGTAAGGGGCGGCGAGGTCCCCAAGCATACCTACCAACACCTACAGGAACGAATTCATCTCTAGCAATGGGTAAGGGGTGTGGAATCGTAGTTGCTGGTCTACAAGCAAGCTTGCCCTCTTAAAAAAACTCCCTGAAATTTGTTCCCTGCTATGCGTATATGTAGCGTGTACGCCGATGCATACCTCAAAAGACTTGGAGAGATGGCACTCCCCTCCCGCTGTAGACAGACTTGCAAAGCTTGATTGCTCCACGCAACCAAAGGGGTGCGGAAAGCCCGATTATAAGGGTGCGAAAAGACCTCAACCACATTTTTTTTTTTTCTGTTGGAATTATCTGGGATGTTGAGCAATCGAGCTTTGATATTCGGTCTATATGTACAATGTTGGTAATCGACTTCGTAAGTCGCGAAGGAAGGGATTGCTGTACCCTTCTCGCGATAAAAATACCTCAGGCAAGAACCGCAGGAGGGGGTCCAGCCCCCCCCCTCTTATGTGACCCCGGTTGGGTCGTCTAGCTAGTAGAAGTGGAGGATAGGGGCCAGAGAGGAGTCCAATGATGGGAGAAAAAAAAAAAATGTTGGGGGAAGGTGGGGATCCCATCTCTCCGCCTCCTACGGTATGCGTTCATGTACATGTAGTTTTCACGTACTTGGAAGTAGGAAGTATTTCGAAGGCAATGCACTTACAGCAGTAGTTTTTCTACACAGCAAGGTGTATAGACATTCCTGCTTTTGCTATCCATATGCATATGTATGTATCACTCTCGTTTCCTCTCCGCTGCAGACTTGTGCTCTTCGTTCGCATGCGTTTATGCACGGCGCAAACTCGTACTTGATGGTTGTGTCAACACAAGAACACAAGAGAAATCCTGTTTAATACGTGTATCATCAACCCTTTCCTGGTGACAAAAAGTAGGGCAAGCACCGCAGGCAAGGCAAGGTGGGGCACTAAAACAAAAACACAACAAAATGACAAAAGCTCCTGTGTGACCTCAGCTTGTGTGAGCTCGGCTGATACGTGACGTGTATACGCCGAAAGGCCTGTCAACCAGCGGCGGAATAGATGCATTCACAAACACACATCATGATCCCTTACCTCCTCTGTGACCCCGGCTGATGGGTTGAAAACAGCATGCCGGAAGGTGCAAAAGTTTCCGTCCAGAGTAAATACGATGAGATACACAACAAACTGTCATTCATGTACCCTACCTACTCTCCTTGTCGGAGAGCGTTTCTTAAGCGCAGCAAGTATGCAAGATGTGTACAATCTAGCTCTGAAAAGGTGAACGCCGCTCAACAAGTTTGCCTTGTTTTTCCGGTTGCCGTCGACAAACCGGCGTCATGGGTGGGTGACGGGGTTCTTACCATTTTCAACTAAGCACGGAATTTTCGTGTGTGTGTACGCAAAAGCATCAATTTTTGGAACTCTTGTCCCAAACGAGGACGGCCCGCGCGACCCTGGGTTGGGTTGCAACGGCTTCCACATTGACCACGTGTACCGCCGCAGTACAGCAGTACACCGCCGTCACTCACGAGAGAAGTGTGGACGAAAGGCGTAGTCTGCAAAACCTGAAGATGTAGTGGCAACATCCGCACGATCCCGATACTTGTGCTGTATGATACCGTACATTCCGTTTCAGCGTCCCCGAGGTCAGTTGGCGAGGGGACATACCGTATACGACACAAGAATACACACACCCTCGACCGATTTTCCAAGCTCGACTACGTCACGACCAAGAGGATGAATCAACGAAATGGTACAGTTTCGGAAAATTTTCTCTCGACGAGACGGCTTCGACGACACCGTTTTGGGCGCTGTGACCCGTTCTGCTGTTGAGAAATCGAGCTTTGCAAATCGGTCCAGGGTGCGCGGTGTCTTGTGCCGTATTCGGTAGCCAGCTCCCAGCAGGTTTTCTCCCCCACTCACTGCAAAGGCTTTCAACGCATCCCCCTAGACTTCGGCAATTTCTCGAACCTACAGTCTTTCAGGGATTGTAGGCTAGATGTACAGTACAGTTGGCACCACAACATGAATGTCCTGTTTCGTGCAACCCTCGAGCTCTCATTTCATTTGCCACATGTGTTTACATATCAGCATCTACTCCTGTGCTCCACGTGAAAGAGTAAAGTCGGAATCAAGCTTTTTTTGAGTGTGTGTTTGCAAAAAATCTTGAAAGCTCGATTTTTCAACTACTGCAGTACTTGTACCAGGTTCTCTTGCGGCGTGTGGCACTTTGCAGCGCTCGGTGGTCGCCTTGGTTTTGACAGCCTTTTTAACCCTCGAACATTCTCTTCCTTTGCCGCTGTTTCTGTTCTCGATTGGGGGCGCCGCAAACCTCTTTGGGTGGGGGGG